AGTGGCAACGTTTTTTAGAGGAAGTGCAGCTAAGGCTCTGACAACCAGAAGGGACGAAAGAACAAAGTACTGTAGGACGTTGGTTAGGACTAGCAAAAAAAAAAAAAAAAAAGAACAGGGTGAAGAATAAGCGTGGAGGGAGATGAGCACAGATGTGAAATCTCTTCTAGTGGGACACAGCACATGTGAACACACATGCACTGCCCACAGAAGCCCAGGGCGTGGCCACGATGCACAGCACAGAGCACACGTCCAGGGCATCACCGCAGCTCTCACTGCCCCTTCAGCATGAAAAGTGGAGGCATCTTTGCCTCCACGGGCCCCTAGCACTGCCCAGCTCACTTGAAGGGACTACCACCTGCCAATCTGCTCTTGCTGCCACCTTGCTTCTCTGAGCCACCGCCCCCCCCCAACTAGGCTTAAAACAGAGACCCTCAACACCTGGGCTCCCAAGTGTGCTGGGATGGGGGAAGTGCGCCAGGGAGAGGCGAGCAGTCATGGACCCAGGGGTGGAGAAGCTGATGGGTGCCACCACCCTGCTGGGTCTTGCTCATTCTGCCTGGGTTGGCCCCCTCCCTCTTGGGCATTTGTCCAGCGCTGTCCTTCACCTGGGCCCTCAGGCCCCTCGCCAAGCCTGGACACAGCCTCCTGACCATCTGGATACGACTCCCGCGAGTAGGTTGGAGGGGCAGCGCCAACTTCCTAACCTCGACAGAACGTCGCTGATACACAAATAGGAGCAGAGAACAAAAGGCGGCTCAGGTCAGACAGCTGAGGGTCCCGGAGCGGAGGCAGCAGGGCCGAGCACCACACCTGGCAGCGGCGGCGGGTCAGGCGTCCCGGACAGCGGGACCTGTCGCCTGGTCAACGTGTGCAGACGAAGTAAGAACAGTCGGCTCTGAAAGAGGAGGAGCAGCCGGGCACAGGGAGGGGGCTCTCGGACACCACGAAGAGAAGTCGAAACGCTTAAATAATGGGAGCAAAAGAGCGAAACAGACAGCGACGAGAAGCCATGACTGAAGCAGAGAGCGACTCCCGGAGCTCTCCCGCGTCTGCGCAGAAGGACGAAGGACGGGGTGGGTGGGGCAGACGCGGTCCCGGCGAGATCCGGGAGGGCGGCGGCCCCAGCCCAAGAAAGATGACAGTGTCGGATGAAAGGGAACGCCACGTTCCGGGAAGGACCCCCAACAAGACAGGCAACCGAGGCGCATCACAAAGAGCATTCTGGATTCCAAGAGGAGAGAGAGCCTCCTCCAGGCTTCCAGGCTTCCAAAGAAACGAAAGAGGACCAGACGGGGTGGCTTCGCGTGTGCTCAGACCGCCTGCCCACTGGCAACCCCAGGGCGCCCAGAGTTTCCGTGGAGAACAGCATCCCTTGAGCTCTGCACCCCGAGGACCCCCAGACCCAGGAGAGGGGAAGAAACATCAGGCACTGGAGGCCTCAGGAAATGCACCTCTCAGGGGCCGCTTCTGGGAAACACTACTTGAGAAAGTCTTCCATCCAGATGAGTAACAGTTTGGACTCTGTCTTCGCAGGCCTGGCACCAGTGATGTCACAATCCCCTGCCCCCTGCAAAACGGCAAACAGACAAGAGGCTCATGGTCAATGTGCCAGTTGCCCCGAGCAGGCAGGTCCTGCTTCTTCCCCAGCTGGGCCCCCGGGGTCTGAAGCAGCACCTGGCAACCAGGAGGTGGCCAATAAGCCCCTGCTGAAAGAGGGACACTGAAGAAGTCAGACAGCAGAGGCGAGGGTGGCCCAGTGTGAAGCGCCAGGCTCCCTCCAGAGCCTGCCCTCTGCGATGCACTCAGGCTCACATGCTCCTAAGCTTCTGCTCCTTCCGAGTTGGCTGCTCCCTGACCGGCAGCATCAGCGTCACACAGGGGCTCGTGAGAAACGCAGGCCCAGCCCGAGGCGAGGAATCACCTCCCACTCTGGCAAAATCCCCAGCTCTTCTGAGATGCATCCTGAGCAGAAAGCCTGTATCCGAGAGGTAAACCGTAGCAGAGATGTGCTGTGACTTTCCAGAGGCACACGGCTGCTTGGAGACAAGAATTTGGGCATCTGATGCCCCGTGTTGGGGGCTGGGCCCACAGCTGGCAGCCAAGCCCTGCAGCTGTGCCCATCGGCTACGATTCTGCCCGAGATCCCTAGACACAGAGACCCCCCGGGTCCTGCCCAGGACATACCATGGACACCGCTGTGCGGCCCACCTGGGTGCAGCTGGTCGGCGGCCCCTTGACAATCACCCACCTGAATGGGCAGCAGCAGGGGTGCTGGTGAGAGCTCCCGGGGAGTCTGAGACGGGTCAGCCGCTCAGCTGGACGGGTTTTCTTCTTCGCTCTGGGTAAGGGCTTGAAAGAGACCGTGGGGCACTGAGGGCAGGCTGCCTCTCTGCCCGCTGCTGACCCGGCCAGGATGGACAATGCCAGCGGGCAGCCGGCACAGAGCTCACTGCCCCAGCGCCACTTGCCCCAACGCTGTCTCTGTGACAAATGCCTGTCCAGAGACAGGAGGAAGCAGGGGTTTTGCTTTCATTGGAGAGAATGGGCGGCCTAACCTTCCGGCAGTGAGCTCCAATCAGGCCTGGATGACCAGACAGCCGGCAGCGTAGACAGGACCGCCCCTGAGTGGACAGGTGCCAGGCTCACCTGGCCCATCAGAGAGGCAGGGGTCTAGCCACACTTGCTGGGTGCTGGGCGGGGCAAGGGTGCCAGGTGGGGGACCTCCATGGGTCAGAGACGGGCCATCTTCCCAGTTCGGGGCCCCTCCCTCCCTGCCGACCTCCAGGCACCTCTCCTGGCTGTGAGCCAGGCCTGGAAGCCTGGAAAGGCAGAAAGGCAGAGAAATGGTGGTGCCAAATGGCAAGACAGACCCCCCCCTCCGCACACAACTATTTGGGAATCCATTTTTAAAACCTAGAATGGCTGCAGGGAGCTTGGAGCCATCCTCCTGTAGGTCGGGCTCCACTAACTACAAGCTGACCTTCAAAGGAGAAGTTTGCGGACACATTCCTGTGGGATAACGGCGGCTGAGGCAGGATGGACAGAAGGCAAACTGCCCTCCTCCAGGCAAATGTAAACCAAGAAGCGCTGGCATCAGGAGACAAGGTCCTCTGGGCAGCTGTGCGACCTCATTCCCCCCGGGACCCCCCCGGGGGGGTCCCTGTTCCTCAGGGGCCTGGGAGTGGTCCCTGAGCCCAGAAGCAGCTGTTACAAGCCTCTCTCTGCAGCCCCCGGGCCCTTTGTCAGACAGTGGGACAGAGGCCACGGCCGTGTGAGCCTCATCAGGCTGGTGAGTGGCTAGGAGGCCACCCCGCGCTGCCGAGGGAGCAGAGTTAAAAGATGCGGAGCTTCTGTGCTGGGGGGCCTGGTCCATCCCCTCTGGACAGTCTTGCTTTCCCAGGGATGGCTGGGTGGGCGGGATCCCCCCACCACCCCACAGAGCTCCTAGGACCCCCAGCAGATGGAGGGCTTCTGCTGGTCCCGCTGAGAAGCGCCCGAGGCTCTGTCTGCTCTGCTGGGCTCCGCGAGGACCTCGGAGATCCCGGGACCTGTGTGTTCAGCCCCGTGATGCTCAGGACCGCCGCCCTGTGTTCCCGAGGGGCCGTGCCCGTCTGTGCCGGTGCTGCCGACGCCTCCTGTGGGCTCTGTTCCCTCTCCGCGTTCCCGACAAGCCGG